TTTGCCGTTCTATTCCCTGCCGCAGTTCGATCTGCGTGTTGTCTATTTTTGCGAATTTTCGTTTTTTTTGCCGGGGATCTCCTGGCAAACGCCCACCCCTTCTTTTTGGCAATTTTCCATGTTCAAGACTCTGGGCTTATACCCGGATAAATACGGTATACAGCTTTAATAGGTTATAACGGAGTACTCACCATGCATGTATGTATACCGCTTTTCAAATTCCTTTAGTTCTTTCTTGGTGGGTTTCTTAATTTTGGTAACCATTGGTTGTTTCGACTTGCCCTTTCTCTTGTCAGCCTAGTTTATATGCAAAGAAAAATGTGAGTTATCAACTGGCAATGCATAAAAGACAGAAGGATACAAAGTTTCCATAGGAAGCTATAATCAACCAAGATGTGCACATCATACGACAGACTGTGCGCATCATACGACAGACTGTGCGCATCGTACGACAGACTGTGCGCATCGTACGACAGACTGTGCGCATCGTACGACAGACTGTGCGCATCATATGACAAACTGTGCGCATCATAAAAAACATTAACAAAATGTAGATGTGGCATTTGTGTGTACATTTCCATGCCTGTCTAGAGATCCAACTTAAAGTTTAACCACACCATTTCAAATACAAATATAGCAAACTATTTAATTATAAATTCATGTGTTTCAGGACTCACCTCGTCCTCACACCCGACACCTTCTATGTTAATGACTTTCCTTAGCTCTGTATCGACACCGTGCAGACCCGTGCTTAGTTTGTCCTCTAAGTCCTCTTGTAGCTGTGGATCCTAAAAACAGAGGAGGACATTTTGAAAATGAATACACTGTAAATCATCTATTAATCTGAACATGGTCTGTGATTATGTCACTAGAACTCAACTATAGGTACTCTACTATACTATAATTCATTTTTTTCGGTTCGCTGGTTGGCACATGAAAAACCAATCCAATTCTCTGCCATTTACGATCTTACTTGTAAATGCTACACTGGGATTTCAGCAACTTTTAAATGTTTTTTTTGCACATTTGCTATCATGAAGAAATATCCCACATCATTTTGTTATTACAAGATGAAAAGTAAGTATACCAAAACGACCATAAAATACAATCCAGCATTGATAGACACCCTCTAATTGTGTCCAAAAGGATACAAGACAATAATATTCACATATACATAGCAATATGTTTTCAACTTACCAAATTATATGTCTTGGTGTTCAAGAATATTGTAGTTTCTTGATGTAGGTTCCTAACGCTGTTTATGAAATCTATCACATTCTTTCTATTGGCACCCTACATAAAAACAAGGTCAAAATTATTATTTATTCACCAATTAATTACTATTGCAAAACAGCATTCAATTCCCATATTAGGATAAACATAGCAACGACAAGAAAGGATAATGACAACGACAACAACAATAACAGAACAGACATCTGCATCATACATAATAACACCATATTCTCTCCATTCGTTTATGTTGTACTGCATCATAATATGTCTGTCTTCAGCTTACAAGAAATAAAAAATGAAACTTGCTACCCAATCCAGTAACAGAGTTGGAATACCACCATGGAGCAGGTCTTAAAATTATTGCTTTTGGATCACTTTTTGAAAATTACAAAATCAACACCATAATAAGTAAAGATATAACAAGATGACAGAACGTTATGCCCATATATGGACATCCAGGTGAAACATATTTTGCATGTTACATGTTTAGTTGCTTACCTCGGCTATTCTTCCACCCGGAAATAGTCTATCAAGACTATCCGAGGCTGCCGCAGCGTGACATGACAGTTCCTGCTCCACTGTACTATGACTCAATGTTGCCACCTTAACACTGTCGGGAAAACAAACGTACATTTGAATATGCTAATTCCACAAAATGCACTATTTTGATGTCTGAAAAATTCAGCTAAAGTTCATTTTATGTATTGCATAGCACCAACTCATACATTCATTTCCTGTCAAAGGGCTTAAAAGCGAATTTACAGATTCGGAAATAGAAACTGCACAATTTAAGCATACATATACGCAACTTGACCCGTGGACACTGCTACTCTTCGGGACAAGTACAACTGAATTGTTTACATGCACTAAGGAAAGGAACAGTGCACAGGACAGCTTTACGACGCCATTCGCAAGGACGTCACTCTACCAAATATAAATGTAGGCAGAATGCACTCTTATTAGCACTGCTGAGTGTATAGCCGACCATACGAGTCAAATCCACGTCCTCCCTGATAATAGGCGTACACGCTAGCCATTGTTCCACACACCAGGACTGTCGAGAAAACGCTGTGAAATGGGACATCAGTTTGTCAAAATGTGTTATCACAGTGCCCTAAGGTTAACGATTAAGATTACTGTTAGGAAAACATTTTGTGAATATGGGACAGCATACGTCAATTTCATACAATGGCCTAAAACTACAACTAAAGGTTAAATAATCTTGGCATGCGATATCAGTAATGTCAACGTCGGAATTTCAAATTTTACCATTTAATTAGAGTGGCTGAAGCATCGGCAAATGGCGTCAACACCAACGCTTCATTATCTGTGATTGGCTGAGAGTTCATTGGCTGTCCTTTCTCTACTCGTAGTTTGTCAGTCCACATCTGTAGAGTCGTCTCAAATGCCTGAAACGAAGATATAATGATTAACAGTTATGAGTTTAATAAAGGAATTCTGGTTGGTATTATGGTCCAGGGAAAAACCAAAACAGGAGGACTACCAAATTTAATACTCTGGTTTATTGCATACAAAATGAAAATGTCTGAATGATGATTCATGATTAGTGACCTACCCTGTCTCTGACAAGCATCTGTGCCCTGTTCTTGTGCACAATTTTGATAAACCCAGGCGGCTGAATCCATGCTTCGCCATCTACCTGAATTGGAAGTCCCTCATCGCCAAGAATGGTCAGCTTCACAACACGACACTGCAATACATATAAGAGGTGCATTAATAGCAGTATTAGAAGTGATTAGTATGGCATTATTCAAAATCAGACACAATAAAACAAGCAGCCTAACTGCTGAGATAGCTCCGCTGTTAGCAATGCACATTCCAATTAAAGAACTGAAGACATCATTAGAAAATGAACAATATGTATAGTATCAAAGCAATCGGACTTACAGTTTTTAACAAGAAGTCGAAAATATCACTTTCTACCAAAAATGACAAAAATATTTACCAAAATTAGAGAATTTAAGATATCATCACGAAATGAACAAATCTGAGAAAGGTCTACATGTAGTATCTATATAAGTAATATCAAAGCAATTGAACTTTTGGTTTTTAACAAGAAGTCAAAAATATCACTTTTTACCAAAAATGACAAAAATATTCACCAAAATTAGAGAATTGAAGATATCATCACAAAATGAACAAATCTGAGAGAGGTCCACATGTAGTACCTATATATGTAATATCAACGCAATCGGACTTACAGTTTTTAACAAGAAATCGAAAATATCACTTTTTACCAAAAATGACAAAAATATTCACCAAAATTAGAGAATTGAAGATATCATGAAATGAACAAATCTGAGAGAGGTCTACCCAAGGTACATATACACAAAGTATCAAAGCATTCAGGCTTGTAGTTTTTAAGAAGAAGTTGAAAAAGTAAAACATTGACACGGACGACGACGCCGAACAATCACTCATATGATAAGCTCCGCTCGACAAAGTCGACAGTGGAGCTAAAAAGTTATATTGGATAAAAACAAAAGATATACAACCTGGCCACTAGGTGGCACTGTCTTACCCAAGTAAAAACAAAAGCCATACATTATCTGCCACTGAGTGCACTTTCTATTCATGTTCTTACCTGCGCTATCCTATGATGACGTACACTGAGCACTCTCGACATAGCCATATGTGTCACACCGTATACAGCAACAACTTCAAGTATTTTATCATCAAATGAGGGTGCTGTGAAATTCTGAAAAAACAGATAGCATGGACGTTTTAAACTGATACACACACTTCATGGTGAATACTCTTGTGTCAAGAAAATAAAAAAGTTGATTTCAAAAATATTTGGAAACAATTCCGTCATCTAATACATCACACATATTAATTTATCGTTTAATCTAGCAATGCATTTGACTATAGTTGTGTGTAAAAGGTCACATGGGACCCATATTAAACATGGAGAAATGCGACAACAATAGCAATGCCTTACAAGTTCTGCACTAGGTATTTTTATTTTCAATTGGGATTTCTAAAACCATATTGATTTCCTGGAAATATTTAACAACAATAAAAATATCAAATCACATGTTCATTCATAATTCATGTTTGTATAGTGGTCCTTACTGAATCTGTTTTGCTGCCTCCCCAGAAGTTGTATCCACCCATGTAACTGGGTATATTGAGAACTACTATACCCTGTAAGCTTGGAAGTGGAATCCTCTGTCCATCACACTGAGTGGAAAGAAAATACATCACATGAAAATGGGAAATATGTGTTATTTATTGTATTTAAGCAATTGCTAAAAGACCATGTGCTGTATAATATACAGACGCTGTGTATTTGGGTGAATATCCGAAAATTTTACCCCCATAATGTATTTTCATTTTGTGCCCCAATAGTCAATTTGTCTCAGTATACACACATTAAAAAGTTTTTTTTTGTTTAAAAAAACAGTATTTTCAGGAATCTTAGCACAACCCTAAATATACAATGTATTAATTATTCAACACAAACAGAGGTCACTCACCTCAAGCTGTATTATTCAACACAAACAGAGGTCACTCACCTCAAGCTGTATTATTCAACACAAACAGAGGTCACTCACCTCAAGCTGTATTCTTTCATGTAAATTTTTGGAAGTTCTCTGTAGGAATTCTTTGCCCGCAAAGATTCCATACCATGTTTTGCATTTGGTCCGACTCCTGGACAAAAAATATTTGTAATGAGTTAGAAACTACCTAGCCTAACCAAGTTTTTTCTTCAATCTGGAGAAAACTGTAATCAGCAAAGAACAAGACTTAAAAAATACAAGCTCTCCATCTAGTCATTTATACAATACCTGCATTTCTCAGGATGCTCTTCTCTTTTATTGTGAAAGTCTAACGCTATTTTGGCATCCAGACCAATTCCAAAATAGTTATTCATGACGTATCTCTCGTCAAAACCATCGCTGGAAATAAAACAGAGATCTTCAAAATTATGCTTCCCACCTTCACACTTCCTGTATCAACTGTGATGCTTATTTCAACAAACACATCATCTGAAATACATGCAATTGATTCATACATGTTTGGATGGGCGGCATTATTTTTCAATCATCTGATAGTATATGATCTTATGCAGTATTTTTTTTTTAAATAGAAAACAGAATGAGGTTTCATTATGTGTGCAAGCATCAGTTTGAATTCTTAATAAATAAATGTCTTTTATGTTTAAAAGGTTGTTACTGTTGGATTTTGAAAATTGCCACCTTTCAACTTTCAATAGATATAACCAGACTGCCATATAACTCCTGTTGCATGTGCCCACTGTAGGCTATACAGACTCAAGTCTGATTGCTATAAATATGGCTACCAGACTGGCCAATTATTATTGAATTGCACGTCAGTCATATGATTCTCACATGTCTGAATTTATTAAAAACACACAAAGTGGTGTTTTGAATTTAAAGCGTTTGAGCTGATGATTGTTTACAATAACTGAAGTATGGACATCTTCTCTGCCTTTGGTTGACAGAGCTTTGCCACAGAGATTTACCACAGAGCTTTGCCGCAGAGCTTTGCCGCAGAGCTTTGCCGCAGAACTTTGCCACAGAGCTTTGCCACAGAGCTTTGCCACAGAGATTTGCCGCAGAACTTTGCCGCAGAACTTTGCCGCAGAACTTTGCCGCAGAACTTTGCCGTAGAGCTTTGCCGCAGAGCTTTGCCGCAGAGCTTTGCCACAGAGCTTTGCCGCAGAGCTTTGCCGCAGAGTTTTGTCACAGAGCTTTGCCACAGAGCATGAATAAATGATCAACTCACACATCGTTTGCATCTTGGTCCATGAGCGGAGAAGCCGGAGCACACAAAGCATCAGCATTGGCAAGTAGAACTTTACTAATCAAGTTACCACCAGCAGCTAAACCAGCTAAACCACCACTTAAACCTGCAAAAAATAATAGTTTCTGCTATTAAACAAAGGTGAATGCTAGTTAAAATTGATCAGAAAATGGTTACAGGATTAATTCACTTTGCAGCTGATCTTAGGTAGAAAGTAAAAAATTGAAACAAGATAAGTGAATAAATCCTAACAGACCATCTGTAATTATATATGCGCATATCATAATGATGTCAAAAGATGACATGACCCGGATTGCAGCAACTGTGTAAGGCGAGCCACAAGTTGGACTTGCACATTATTTTGCTTGCAATAAATGATCTGAAGGCTGATAAGGCTTTTATAGTTTCAGAATAAAAATTAATGCAATAAATATTACAGTAAACCGATTAATTTGATATTTCAATCACGTTTACGTGAACAAAAAGTCTAAAGGACAATGTCTTTAAGACCCTAGTGAAATTTTAACTGAAACAGTATTTCGCAATATTTGGGATTAAAGCAGTTTAAAGTAGTTTGCGGCAAAAAAGAGATTTTTTTCAAAGAAATGCAAATTTGTTATTGATCGTTACTGTCGTTGGTACATGTACTCAATGAAAAATAATATATGTTAAAGGGCGGTACATGTACTCAATGAAAAATAATATATGTTAAAGGGCGGTACATGTACTCAATGAAAAATAATATATGTTAAAGGGCGGTAGTCATTGTGCCGCGTCCTGTTCGATATGGGACTCATAGCGACGTATACAACGTGTGTAAAAAACAATGGTTATTTACATGAAATTCGAACATGTGCTGCATGAAGACCGCCACGCTTTAAACACAGGAGACAATAAGGGCTGCATCTCATTACTTATGCAAACAAGACACTTCTAAATAGAAGAAGTGAAGATAATATCATGAAATGGATGAGCATAATTAAATGAAGTTAAAGTCAACAATTAGTCATCCACATGATTGGAAATCAACACACATAATAGTTGATCAAAAAGAACGTCAAAACCTGGGTAAATGTGCTATGAAATACAGTACCAACAATTGAACGATTCCCTTCAGAACACTATAAAATTACATGCTTGCCACGAGAAGGCCACATCACATGGTTATGAGAAGACTGCAAAAACATAATTAGACCTAATTTATTATTAATTATTAATAATAGTGGCTATAAATGTTATGAAATCTTGTATAATATGTATATATTAAAAACATAATGACTGGACAACATGAAAAGTGGATCAAACAAATCCCCGATTTGATTCTCAGTGAATTTTGCTTAATCAAGTAAGTCACATTAGAAACACATCAGTTTCACATGGCATTCAATAGTCTTCAGTTGACTCCCTAAGCTGGTGAAAATGCTCAGTAATTTCCAGCTTGCAAATTCTGTAATTGTTGTATTTGGTACATGTACACGGCACATACTGTTTCGCAAGTCAAATGCTACAAACAAAACATATCTGATAATATACAACGTAAAACATATTCAATTGACCAATCACAGATACTAATAAATACACATGGTCCAGCAAAGAGTGTTCCATATACATCAGTTATCGGTTTAAACAAAGAAGGTGCAACACTTGAAACATTCACATAAACAAACATTCAGAAGATGACAGCATGCAACTTAGATATCAAGATCAAATTTTGCACAAGTGTACTGAGTTTAATTCTAAATATTGGCATAAAAGAACATTTGGAAAGATTTGCATGAACAGTTGTCCCATCTTATAAATCCTGGATCTACAACACTCCATGCAGTGGGTATATTATCGGTGAAACAGAACACGATGCATAACTAGGGAATGTAAGCTCTGGATTGGTTTAATATTATCATGTGACCTGCATCAGGGGGTAAACCATGCATTGGATGTGAGTAATCACAAATCTCATTGGAAGATTCACATAGCTCACTACACCAGCCACTACAACATTAACAACAATGTCAAAACTATATTTTAATAAACCGATGATGTCACAAAATACAACCAATGACAAAGTGACTACAAGCAAGACAAGTGATTATACACTAACAACAACAACTACCACCGACGACCAACAATTCACTTGCCTTGCAGAGTAGACACATTCTCCATGCTACTAATTCTAGCAGACAGACCGACGGGGCCCATATAGGGTGGCGTAAGTTTACTTGCGTGAGTTATTCTACGTATTTTAGGACTATCAGGATAAAGTTTCAATAACTCTTTTTCTACGGAAAGGAGAGAAGGAGAAGCAATGTGAAAGACAGCAGGATGCATGGATTGAGTATTGCAGTATTTATTTATTACAAAAGATTGTCGCAATATGTATGCCAATGTATGCCGGCCATGCACCTTTAGCGCACGGTAATGACAACAATATAAAATAGCAAGGCAGGTAATAATACTTTAGAATTATAAATTAAAACACCATAGTCATTATTTAGCGAACTGAAAATGAAGTTTACGCATGTTGTACACATCGCATGGGACTGACAGGGAACATGACATAGAGAGACAACTGTTCCATTTTGAGAATTAAATTAACTATATAGCTAAAGTTATGATTATAATAGATAATGCAAAAAAACAATGATAGATTTTTGCGTTTTTATACACCCATATACTCACCCATCTTTTCTAATTTCTTCTTCTCACTTTTTGCTTTTGCTCCAGCACCAGAGAAATGCTTTCTCAGAGCCATAAGAGGACTCCGACTACCAGGACTCTTTGTACCCGACGCCTCAGCTGCGGCTGCCATCTCTCCACCGCCGACGGTTAACCTATTGCCGCCTCTCGTGGCATTTTTCTCCACCACGTCAGCGATACTTATCTTGTCCATAGCACTTGTACATGGCTTTATCTCTTCGATCTGCTCATCTGCGATGATGTTGATGCTTGGCGTTGTTGAGATGATGGGGACCTGATGACTGGAAGATGGCGACACCACAGCAACGGCGGCCGCCACAAGAGCGTGTTGTTCCTGAGTCTGTGCATTCTGTTCATCAACCGCTGATAGAAACAAACAATCAAAATATACATGTATATACTATTATATTATACCAGTACATGTTAATGGTGTTAATCCATTGATTTGATTGGTCCAAACACAAAACTTGCATATGCAATCCATGGTATATTGGCTGATAATGCACGGCTAAACCAAGTGGCCCTGGAACATGAATTGACTACAGGTTTAATACCGAAATACATAAAACTGGTATTATTTGATTTTTAGGGAAATATAGTAGTTAAATTTTGGAAGAATATTGAAAAAAAAAATACTGAATTAAAAATATTTGAAAAGTTATATAACCATAATATTGCTTTTTGTTAATGGTGGGATCCAAGTTGTGAGCATCGGTAGTTGGGTGATTGTCATTCGCCACACAACCTAAACCAACGTCCCTCAACACCGTGAGGTGCCTAAAGGAACGCCAGAATGCTGTGTTCTCAGCGTTGTGACTTTGAGATGGATTGCGAACCTCCAACAAAGAAAACATCTTTAGTTTTGCTATCCTTTTGTTTTTCTGCAATTTTGATCCATGGTTTTGTACCTAATCAGCTTATGTCTACTGTTTTAGTCCCCATTCCAAAAGATCCCGGAGGCGATATCTGTGACCAGTCTAATTATCGTCCGGTTGCTGTTGCAACTGTGTCATCAAAATTGTTAGAGAAAGTTTGGCTCAATAGATGTATAGATTGCCTTTCTACTAGTAATTATCAGTTTGAGTTTAAGCCAGATCATGGTACTGACATGTCTATTTTCGTTTTAAAAGAAGTTTTATCATATTATAAGAGATTGAATACATCTGTTTTTGTTACGTTTATGGATGCCTCAAAAGCATTCGATTATGTTCGTCATGATATTCTTTTTGAAAAGTTATTACTTAGGGGTGTTAAGACTTATTTAATGAAAGTTTTAATTTTTTGATACAAGCACCAAACATTTGTTGTTAGATGGAATAATTGTTTTTCTGTTTTTTTTTTAATTCGACAAACGGTGTGAAACAAGGTGGGATCTCTTCACCTATATTTTTTACAGTTTATCTTGATAACCTCAGTAATGAACTATCCTCCCTTCTATTTGGTTGTTTAATAGGGAGTCTGAGAATTAATCATTTATTTTACGCTGACGATATTGTAGTATTCAGTACAGGAGCGTATGGTCAACAATTACTAGTTGATACATGCGGACGGTATGGCAAACTTAACTCTATCTTTTTAATGAGAAAAAAAACGTATGTATGTTAATTCAGCCTCGTTTTCGAAGGTTAAAGAATTTATTTAAATGTCAATTTATTTAAATGGTAGACTACTTGATTACGTCACTGTATATAAATATCTGGGACACTTGATCACTAGTGACCTTAATGACAATGTTGACATTCAGGCCAAAACTCATCTCTTTTATGTGAGAGGCAACGCGATTATTCGCGATTGTAGATTTGCGTCCTTACAAGTACCTGTTATTAAAATGTCATTTATTTTCTGTATTTTGTGATATTCCATATGCGTTTTGTAAATTATCTGGGTATTCACATTCTGTTGTACAGAGTAATAGGACATTATTTGTTAATCTTTATATTAGATCTTTTGATGAAATTTTTCGGAAAAAGACATTTAGTTTGATGAGTAGACCCATTGTAACAACATTGTACATTTCAATTCATTCCCAGAGTTTAAGATGGATGGAGGATTTTTTGACTTGTATTTTTTTTTGCTATGGATTTTTTATGATCTGAAATAAACACACAATAATAATAATAATAAAAGGTCAAAAAGGTCATCTTTTGTTATGCTAATTCGTGTGTTTACGCTGCTCTATTCACCGTGGATACGTTTCTTTTTCATGCGAAATAAAAATTAGTTTGTATTCAATTTGAACTGTGTTGCACATGTAATTTTTGTATTCATTCAGCGTACAACTACATACTATTCTTATAAATATTCATGTTCAAGGGCCATAATCATGATCTTTTAGTAGATGAAAGTAAACTCTTTTTTTACAAGTTTTATCGAATTGTCAATATACTGGTATAATATAATAGAAATAACCCCCGCCGAAGTTGGGTATACCACTTGATATTGCACAATTCACTCCAAATATGTGGCTCGTGCATATATGTCGTGAATTGTGCAATATCTCGTGGTATACCCACCTTCGACGGGGGGTTATTGCTTAAGTATATCATCTATATGTTCATGACACAAAACTTAGAATCTAATTTTTTTTTTTAATTGGCCAAAAATTGAGACTGACCTTTTTCTGTATGTTCAATTATTTGTCTGACAGCTTTTTTCAAGCTGTTTGCTCGGCACATAAGTGCATCTCTTGGTTTGAATATCTTGGCTGGCACCTCCGGCATGGTATCCTTATCAATGTTAGACTCTTCCTCTTCTATTTCTACAACATCGGCCTCCACTTCGTCTTTTTCTTTCTCTTCATTATGATTGGCCTCCTTTGGAGATTCTTCCTCGGGAGGTACTGGAATGTTAGCGGGCAGTGGCGTAGCATTTGATTCTTCTTCTAACGTTTTCAGAAGTGATTGTAGTTTTTCGTTTAAAACTGCACACTGTAGAAATTAAAAAAAAAACATAACAAGAAGAAGTTGAAAATACACATTTTTACCAAAAATGACAAAAATATTCAGTAAAATTAGTGAATTGCAGGTATAATCACAAAAATAACCAATCTGAGTAAATATAAAATGGGGTTAACAAATAGTGATTCACTTACTTTCTGTTTCATTGTCTCTTCCTCAGAAACGTGCTCACTACTATCATCATATGAAGTACCGATTTTGGCAACGAAATCTTTAACGGTCTCACAAAGCACCCTGAAAACGAAATGCAATAAATTCAGTGAAAGATGTCAGTCTGCTTTCTTCTGCAATTGGGAGATGACTGGGTGTGTTTTATAAGTATCATATGTTTATCATTATATGGTCAATTGAGTCAGCGACAATCCCATAAAAACAAAATAACACGTACTTTGCTGAAGATATGACAACAGAATGTTGATCGGATTGTAAGATTTTGGTGAGATGCTCCGCCACCGAGTCTTCGTAGTCGGCAATGGCTTCTTCCACTTCTGTCGTCGTTCCCAATCCTGTCCTCTCAATAGCATGTGAAGACGACACTTCATAGTGATATGGCTCGGGGTGTTCCTTCACCATTATGCTCCACCTAAAATATTGTAAGAAAGCGGTTTGATTCAAAACTGATTGATTACAATTAATTGATTCCTTGATTGATAGATTTTGTTTTCACCTGATGGTTTCACAACTTACCTGTCTAGCATGGTAGTTTTGGCTCTTTCAAGTTTTTCTAATATCGTTAGGAGCTGCGCATCATCGTCGATGACCGTGCCCCAACCGAGTACACGAGCCAAATCATTGCCAGTGCCCAATGGCAGAACACCTATTTGACACTGAATGAACAAGGAGTTGAAATGAGTCAGTTGATCTTCATATGCAAATGATATACATCACTCATGTCACAACACAGCTGGAACTAAACAAAGACTGCATTGGCCAACCAGAAGTCAGCTTACATGTACACATATTGATCAGATCTTGTTTCAAATCAGGATCAACATCTCACTACAAAAAACTCAAATTTCCTGAGAAATATACATTATCCTACCATACAGATTTGCATATTACAGTAAAACTGAGAAATTCACAAGACAATTATGTCATGTTTTTTCAAGTCAGTAAGAAATTTGGTAACAGTGAATAATTTATTAGTTTAGTGACTTTTGTGCTCTTTCCCTAACAAAATTCTAGAGTTTCAAAAATTGTTCGTTTTACAGCAATAGACCGTTCTCCGTTCACTGTGAGAATCACGCATTATGCGTGAAATCGAACGTAAAAACAGGACAAACAAAGGTCATAGCGTCGTACTCGCGTCAAACATCGCGTGGGATTCGACAAACGCGAAAGTATTTCGGGGACATTTCCATGCTTAATAATGTGCTGTCCACATTTGATGATAGGCAATTTCGATTAAGTAAGGGTATTCGGAAGCAATATTCCTCTGTCGAAGATCGGCCGGTCAATGTAAGCTACGAAATAAAGAAATTCTAGTTCAAAATCAAATCGTTTGATTTTTGCGGCAGACGTTCGACGCGCATCTTTCATGCATATCGCGAGATCTCGCAATTGTACGGAAAATCACCTATTTAACAACAACAATTTTATTTATTTTTTTCGTCTAAATGTTAATGAACACTACACAGGTTTATTACAAAAAAAGCTATTCAGACTCAAAACAGAAAAGAAACTACGTTGATATTGAAAAGAAGAATAAAAGAATGGATTCACTTACTTGCTATGTATAGATTCAAGCAGATGAACAAAATAACAGAGAATGAAAAGAAAGAAAAAAAAGACAGAATGAGAAGACAAAGTAATAAATCTGATGACATGACAAGAATGCGAGAAGATAGCATGAGATAACCAATAAGTTGATGAATCACCCTCTAGTCAGCTATGACTGGTTACTTTGTTTTTATGCAAAGCATTCAAGAGGGCGACATTGCATAACAAGAATAAAATTATTTTTATTGACAGCACTGAGTAAGATTTGGCTACAAAACTGAAAAACATTCATTTGATTAGACGTTACTGGCAACAATCAATATCCGTAGGGAGTTAATAAGAAATTATCTTCAGTTGATCACAAAAAATAAACATGCCTGTGGCAAAAGTGATTGACAATTTACATGTACATGAGTCTATTGACCTTGAGAATGTCATTTGCCATGCTGACAATCAGTAATTCAAAACACCTCAGTGTGGACAAATCTGAAAGGCTGAGAAACTCAAGTCAAATGATACAACCCTACTTTTGTAAACAAGTGAATCAGAATTTGTTTTTCCTTTAAACCTTAAGATATTTTTAATGTTTTTGTTTTTTTTTAAGTTTTATACTTATTTTGAGTGTGTATATTACAGAAGAGTCAAGATATGTCGCAAGCATAAATACAAGTTTAAATTTTAGACAACATTTCAAGTAAATGTTGGACTGAATTGAAAGTTTGAGATTTTTGAATGGCGAATGGGTATAAAACTGATTCATAATTTTCAGATTTTGCATGTTACCTATCAGAAATCAAAAAAAAAAAAATATTAAGGCTGAATTACAAGCCCCAAGGGAAGAGAAAACACATAGAATGAATGGCAACAGGACCTAGGAAATGCACAAGGTGGAGGTTGATTGTTGACACCTTATGATCCTGAAGGGGCCAAGAGGGATAGATCCATGAAGACTGTGTTGTACAAACATGATAGTTTTGATCATATCAAACAATTGCATTACATTGTCCCTGTAAATTATGGTCAGCCATAATTTTAAATCAAATCTACGAAACACAAGCCATGCATGGCACAGTCCCTGTTAGTTATCAAATTTAAGATATATATTCTTGTTTATAGTAATATAGTTGGAATACAAACATGTCAGAAATATGATTATGATGATTGTTTAACATTAAAATGATTGACATTTGTATCTGATCAAACAAGAGCATGTCAGAGTTATGGCTCTCAAAGCACATTCATTAAAACAAAATGGCCACCAGTCAGCCATTTTGAATCTGTTCTGAAAAATAAAATGACGCCAGGAACTCATAATGTATGTACCAAGTTTGAACAAAATCCATCCATAAATGCCAGAAATGCTTGATATTTGATGATTTTTTAGCACAAAAATGGCCACCATTCGGCCATTTTGAATAGGATCGTCAAACCAATATATCTGTACATCTATGATATGATGTATAATGAATATTTAAAATTTGAACATAATCAGTCAAAGTATCTTATTTGTATACAAGCCGCAAAATTTAAATTAACAGTACCTAGTTGATTAATAACAGTGGAATTGGTGAATGAAGTGAAATAATTAAGAAATAGAAAAAAAGTGCCCCTATATTTATAATTATTAACTGTTCCTTTTAATAAAGTTAAAAACTGGAAATAACAAGAATTGATTATTAACCATATTAACTGACTAGTTCCTGAATTTCCTACCTTCCATCAACATG